CTGTTTTGGAAAATCCACGACTACTTTGCAAATATTGCGAAAAGTACCAATGTTTGTAGTTTTTTTAGGCCCATGAGGCCTGTAAATTTTGAAATCGATGGGTCGAACCGTATTTTTCCTGAATAGTCAGTTTTATAAAAAATTAAAGGATCAGTTTTATTGTTCCTTAAACATCAATTAAGACGAAAAAAATGTTTTTGCGTTATTTTTCTCACAATTTCGTGTTAAATACTCTTCAAATATCAAAAAATAAGAAAAATTCAAAATTTTGAAAAAAATCTAATTTTTCAGAATTTTTTGCGTTATTTTTTTCTCAATTTCACATTGAATACTTATCAAATGTCGAAAAAAAATTGTTACCTATTATGATTTTTTTTTATGAAAAAAAATTGGTAGTTTTGAAAAAACTAATTTTTTAAAGGCTTGGGAACTTTCGAAAAAATGATTAAAAATCGTATAAGGATGCGTGTAAAAAAATGTAGTTGGGAACATCAACCTAAATTAATGCAATTAATTTTAACTCGATGAAATACGGTATGCCGAGAAAAGAATCGCATCAAAACTGAAGAGAAAACGATTCAGAATAATTCTTCACTATTTTGAAACATGAACATGTTTTTTTCACAATTTCAAATTATTTAATTAAAGATTTTTTTTTCGACATTTAAAATATTCATTCTGAAATTGTAAAAGAGATGACACATCAAAATTGAATTTTTTCAAAATTTTTTATTTTTTTTCGGGATTTCAAAACTAGAAACTAGAACTTCAAGATGCTTTTATTTTTTTCGATACAACTATTATTCACGAAGTTACAGCCTTTCAAGTTGCTAAAAAAATTTGGAAATTTAAAAAAAAAATAAATTGGAGCGTTTCAAGTAACCAAAAACATTTTTATATCAAAATTGATTTTTTTTTCAAAATTTTTAATTTTTTTTTCTATTTCGAAACTAGAAACTAGATCTTGAAAATGCTTTTCTATTTTTAGATACGACTATTATTCACGAAGTTAGAGCCTTTCAAAAGTTAGCAAAAAAATTTCTAAATTTTTTAGTTTCAGAAAAAAATTATTTTTTTTCGACATTTGAATTTTTTTTTTCGAGATTACAAAACTCGAAACTAGAACTTCAAGACGCTTTTCTTTTTTCGATACTACCATCATTCACGAAGTTACAGCCTTCTAAGAGTTACTAAAAAAATTTGGAAATTCTTTTATTTCAAAAAAAAAATTTTTTTTTCGTCATTTAAAATATTCAATGTGAATTGTGTGATTTTTTTTTATCAAAATCGAATTTTTTTTCAAAATTAAAATTTTTTTTTCAACATTTCAAAACTAGAAATGAGAACTTCAAGATACTTTTCTTTTCTCGATACGGCCATTAGTCAGGAAGTAATGATTAAAAAATCACAAGAAATTTGGAATTTTTTTTTTGCTGTTTAGTACGTGTAACTTTATTTTATTTGACAGTATAATAGTTTTTATAAAATTATACAGGGTGGGCCAATGGAAACTTTCCACCCCGATTTTTTTGGTTTAAAATAAATATCTGGAAAAACGCTCGTACACGTTAACTTTTGATTTGAGGGGAACTACTTTTCAGTTTTTTTCATCCCCGTAGCTTTAACCCCCTAGCTGGGGAGAGAACAACCCCCCAAATTTGAATAGGGGGTAGGAGTAGTGCCATACCTCTTTTTAAAGGTCTCATCGAGTTCTTTATGACCCTACAATTTCGCCTCATTATTTTTATCCGTAACGAAATGACAGCTTGTCAAAATAAAAAAATAAATAAAAATACTTACCTACTAATTTATTAATTAGGTCTACACGTGAACTTTATCTAACAAACTGTTCAAAATGTCCGCCATTAACATCCATGCAATAATAAAATCGATTCTCTATCTCTTCTCTAACTTTCTGCAACATATCGGCAGTTATCCTTTGACAATTCTTCAATGAAAATTTTAGAGGTCATTGGATTGGATCTTTCCTGTCTAGACTTCTTTCTCTGGGGCCATTTGAAGTCTACAGTTTATAAATCACAGCCAGCTTCTCTTCAAGGTCTGCAAGAACTCATAACTGTAGAATGTCAAAGGATAACTGCCGATATATCGTAGAATGTTAAAGAAGAGATAGAGAATCGATTTTATTATTGCATGGATGTTAATGGCGAATATTTTGAACAGTTTGTTAGATAAAGTTCACGTGTGGACCTAATTAATAAATTAGTAAGTATTTTAATTTATTTTTATTTTGACAAGCTGTCATTTCGTTATGGATAAAAATAATGAGGCGATATTGTAGGGTCATAAAGAACTCGATGAGACCTTTAAAAAGAGGTATGGCACGACCCCTATACTATATATACAAATTTGGGGGGTTGTTCTCTCCCCAGCTAGGGGGTTAAAGCTACGGGGATGAAAAAAAACTGAAAAATAGTTCCCCCTCAAATCAAAAGTCGACGTGTCCGAGCGTTTTCCCGAATTTTTATTTTAAACCAAAAAAATCGGGGTGGAAAGTTTCCATTGGCCCACGCTGTATATTTTACAATCGGATCGCGACTAGGGTTTCTGATTTCTCGGACTATTTTTTTTCTCGGGTCTCGAGAATTCTCGACTAGGAATTCCCGGGAATTCTTGAATTCTCGAGAAATTTCTAAAACTTAAAGTCATAATTTTGGCATTGCAATGATAAATATAAACATGCTATTATACTTAACAATCATCATTAACATTTATTATTTATTCAGTATTTTTATTAATTACTTATGTTTCTCTTTCTACTAACAAAACTAAATTAAATTTTGAGTTTCTTCTTAAAAACCTCTAATTTGTTTTTTTATTAAACATTTTCAATATACTTATGTTTATTTCTATGTTTTTGAATCGTAGTTTTCTTCCAATAATAATTATTAATGATCATTAATCATGCAGTCTTTTAATTAAATAAATAGTAAATAAGGAATTTAACCGAAGAAATCTTAAAAAAACAAGCTTTAATTTAAAGATACAGAAACGTTCTTCCTATTAATTTATCACTTCAACATTAGGTATCTGCTTATAATAAAATTTCTACACAGACTTATAACTAGGCACAGGGTGATTCACTATATTTTGACCCCCCCCTTTAACTTTTTTGTTTTAAGAGTTATAAAAAAAATGTAAAATACAAAAGTTGCACGAATTTTTACGAAATTTTCGAATATGATAGTAGTAGAACAAATCAAGTTCAAACAAAATGGCCGCCAATGTTAACTTTGTTAATTTAAAAGGAACACCCTGTATATTTTTACACATTTGGATAGAACGTTCCCTGTCGAGCACAGTCATATATGGTTTGTTGGGTCCATCTCTAACAATAAGTGAGATAATATTAAAAAACGAAAAGAACGTTTTTTATTAAGAAAATAAAATATTTTGTAATTGTTGGACGTTTTTCGGGCATTTCTGCCTTTTTTCCAATTACGTAAGGATTTAGATTTATTTGCAATATATTTTGACATATCGAACATTGATATAGTCCAAAATGGGTATAAGTATTTTAACTAAATCGCACTAATTAGTCCGTGAGGGGCTTATTTACTCATGGACAATGTTATATGGTAGGCCGTGACAGTGACAGGTAATATTATGACAACATTGTTATTGTTTGACAGTTTGTATTATTATTTATTTAAAATGGGTTACACAGAAGTAGAAAATTTAAATATTATAGGAATTAAGATAGAGTAGTTAAGATATTCTCCATAGTTTATTTTAATTCCTAATAATATTTCAATTTTCTACTTCTGTGTAACCCATTTTAATTAAATACTAATACAAACTGTCAAACAATAACAATGTTATCATGACATTACTACCTGTCACTGTCACGACCTACCATATATAAGATTGTCCATGAGTAATTGGCCTCACACGGTCTAATTAGTGAGATTTACTTAAAATACCTATACGCATTTTGGACTATATCAATGTCCGATATGTCAAAATATATTACAACTAAATCTAAATCCTTACGTAATTGGAAAAAAGGCAGAAATGCCTGAAAGAGGTCTAACAATTACAAGATGTCTTATTTTCTTAATAAAAAAACATCATTTCGTTTTTTAATATTATCTCGCCTATTATTAGAGATGGACCCAACAAACCCTATATGACTATGCTCGACAAGGAACGTTCTATCCAAATATGTAAAAATATACAGGGTGTTCCATTTAAATTAACAAAGTTAACATCCGCGGCCATTTTGTTTGAACTTCATTTGTTTTTCTACTATCATTTTCGAAAACTTCATAAAAAATCGTGCAACTTTTGTATTTCACATTTTTTTATAACTCTTAAAACAAAAAAGTTAAAGGGGGGTCAAAATATAGTGAATCACCATGTAGGTACATTAAAAAAAATCATTAAAGTAAATTAAAGCCTTAAAAACTTAAAATAAATAAATCATGAGCTGGTAGAGAAACCACTTTAACCGCTCAGTTATTTGTCGAGAAACGAATTTAAGCATGAACGAAACGAACTCCAGTCAAGAACTTAAGACGTGCGTGATTTTTAAATTTCTCGATTTCTCGATTTCTTGATTTCTCGACACTTTTTTCTCGTCTCGAGTAAGGCCAGATTTCCCGGGAATTCTCGCTTCGAGAAGTCTCGACCAGAAACCCCAATCGCGACACAAATAAATCCAGATTCTATATTTATTTGACTATGTTTAAATATAATGGAGCAGGGAGGGGTCTATATTATTCCTAGGGGCCTACTCTTATTTGAATCCCATCTGCTTTACAACCCTCCAAGCCCGTAACCACCCTTGAAGCCGTGCTTAACGGCCTAACCGGCCACCATTTAAAACGGTAACGCGCGACATTACGGCCCACCCTTTTTATTTCCGAGGCTATATCCGCGTCTGTCGTCGAGGCTGTGCCTCCGTAATGCCCCCCTCAGGGGCGCTTAGGCCGCCGCCAATAAAAAAAACAACGTATAAATCGAAATGTAAAACCCACCTTGAGCACGAATATCTCCCCCGTGGTCCTGTTTATGTCGAACTTGCTGTTGGCCGGATTGTCAGGATCAATCCCCTGTCCGGTCAGGAAGTAGACGATGTTCTGCGGCCTGTCTTTGTCGCCATCCGTCGCCGTCACCTGCAAAGGAGGAGGAACAGCGTTATTTCCGGTTTGCCGGGCGCCCTCAGGGCGCCGGGGATGATTTCAATGGGGGAGGTAACAAGAGGGGTAGAGAGGTGTTTAAGAACTGCTAACTACACTTCTAGTTAAGCGTGCTTCAGCTTGCTGAGGGTTTACTTACGTGCATAATTGGGCGAGGGGTGCTACATGCAGGAGATACGTGAGAGCTGCAAGGGTGTAATTATGGAACACCCAGAAAAGACTTAATAAAAAGACTTTATTGTCTGAAGTTACTTATTTGTGGCATAATTTTCTATTTTTTTCTTTATTTATTTTGTATGAAAGTAGTTTCACTTGATTAAATATCTCACACTAAAAACAGACACCAGACAGACACAAAAAACCATTGGTAAATTCAGGGGAACAACGAGCATACAAAAAGAACGAAAAATTACCCGTTTTCCGACATATATTTCCTTGTAACATTGAAAGTAAGCCCTAAATAAAAAGTCATTCTTTATTTTTTGTGTATTTGACGATTTTCTATAAAGTTACAACAACTGCGAATAAAAAAAGTTGAATTTTGCATTAACAATGAGCGAATAACAGTAGAAAATCATATGTATATTTGGAGCAATTATTAAAATAAGTCAATATTTATAAATATTGATGAAACTTTGCGAACAAATAGTAAAACATATGTCAATTCTACCCTAAAAATTTTGCAACGATCGATCACGTGGTTTTCGATTGACAGGATTGTTAATTAAGAAAATTTCAAAAAGTTTATCGCGTACCGTGGGTTTAAATTAAGGTTTAGAAAGGGGCATACAATTTATTAGAGATACTTCTTGTCATAATAAACAATGATCAATACTAAAAATACCTATTGAAAGGAAGATTTTTCAAATACATTCCACAAGCGATGATGGAATTGATGTTGATGATGAAGATGATAATGATGATAAAGAGGCAGATAGCCGTGAGAATTGTATGAATCCTTTGAAAAAAGCGAGTCTCGAATTGTAATATCTTAAGATATGTACATAATTTTTATCTATTGTAATAAAATCAAATTATTCGAATTTATAGATTTTTATACCATTTTTCCTCTTAATAACAACTTCCTCCTACCATTAATTGAACTGAAAATGTTCTTATACTTCAATTAATTAACAGAGAGAGAAAATAAGTTTTTTTTTTATTTAATCATTAAAACGTGGATTTCGTGAAATGCAGAGATAAACACAAACTAATACAACTTGATTACCATGCACAATATAACTATTCTTTAAACTCAAAATTTGAGCAAAAATTATTTATTTTATTGATTTTTGATGACATATTCGTATTCCTCTCATTTTGCTATAACAAATTAAAAAAATCGTCTTGATAAGTGTTCACGAGAAAAGCAATTTTTTATCGCCCATACGCATTTTGAAATCCATGCGAGCGCGCGGCAGCACAACTGCTCTCAGTCATCCTCATTCCCGCTCTGCCGAGAAATTCCAGTGACCATGCACGGTACCTTTCTTGATTTTTCTTTCATTAAGCTTTTATCTGCCGAAATTGCATTAAACGGCTATTGAAAGTAGTTATAGTTAGCTATAAAAATATGTTTTTTTCTCGACTTCACGATTACGTAAGCTATAAATTATTATTAACTTTACGCTTCTATATCTCAGAATCTACACAAGTAGAATGCTGTCGTATTTGGCTAAAAAGCAAGGGGTTACGACGTAGTTTTTATGTGCGCAAGATTTTGTCGACTGCATCGAACATTCCCTGGGCAATAAATAATAATTGTTTATAGAGTAAAAAATTAAAAAAAAATTCTAAAAGTGCAAAGATACGTATTTTTAGTATTGATCATTGTTTATTATGACAAGATGTATCTCTAAAAAATTGTGTGCCCTTTCTAAACCTCAATTTAAACCCACGGTACGCGATACACTTTTTGAAATTTTCTTAATTAACAATCCTGTCAAGCGAAAATCACGCTATCAATCGTTCAAGCAAATAAAAAATAAAGAATGACTTTTTTTGATTTAGGGCTTACTTTTAATGTTACAGGAGCATATGTCGAAAAACGGGTAATTTTTCGTTCTTTTTGTATGTTTGTTGTTCCCCTGAATTTAGCAATTGTTTTTTGGAATAGGCAAAGACGAATGTAGGAGATTTTCAAAGGCATGAGACAATGTTTAGAACAATTTTTGACTGGAGAATCATCAGCTAAACTAAGCCTTAAAAAAGGCTAAAATAAAGGAAAACAATTCGGATTATCAACAATTCCATGCAAAAATATCTTACCTGGCTTTGAAGGATGGTGTAATACTAATACGAATTCTGTAGAATAGTCTATAATTTCACACAAATGAAAGTCAGCAAGAATTTAAGATATTTCTAGATGTTTTCAAGATATATATGTGTTTTTGTAAACGTTTACTATACTTGTTTTAAAGTTGATATTTACTAAAAAGTTTCGGCTATACGAAATCAACTTCAAAACACCAAGTTAGATGAAGAATTTTCACGGTGAAAAGTCGCACAGATAGGTGCACTAAATCGTGTCTAAAACACTTAACTCTGAACGTGGTCGTCGCTACCAACTTTATATCTTGTAACTTACTTTGCAGACTTTAAAACTTAATATAAACTTGTTTTCGGGTGCTATGAGAAGTCGATGATGAAAACTATTTGATGCATTGGACTTTGTCGAGACGACTCGGAGAGTAATTTAAAAAATATTGAATCTGAAGTTCCGATGGCACTTTATGGATTGGATAAAAGCACGTTGACGATATCAGTTCATTTTATTTAAGCTTTAGTTTACTGTCATAATCCTTAAATGCAGAAATATATTATTAATTAAAGTATGGTGGTTGAGTTTCGAGTTGGTCTTTGTCCAAAGTTAAATTGTAGTTATTAGAAACAATATATATGATACAATTTCATAGATTATAGTAGAATCTTTATTATATACGTCGTTATTATTGTGGAAGCAATAGTTTTCTAAGAAATATGATATTTGTCTGTATTATTATCTATATACTTTCTGCAAGAGCTACTTTAATTTAAGTCGACCCGAATTGGACAACACATACGAGTATATGTGGAACATAACTCGCCGATACTGGTGACAGTTTGGTAGCAATTGAATTAAAGTTGAAATTTGAAGTGTAAATTGCCTTAACTTCCACACGAAATAGGAAGGAGTAGTTATATAAACTTAATCGAACGATTGATGTAAAATCTAGCCTGAGAGTTGTAGAAGTTTATTCGAACATCGTCGATTTTTCTAGACGAGGTAAGATGGGAATTTTTGAATAAACACCACTGGTTCATAAAGATTCAAATATTTGTTTTAGTACCCGCGGAATTTTTGATTTCCTGAAGTTAGTCTTTAGGAAAAGTTGAAGGCTGATTCGAAACAATTGTTCGCTTCAATGATGTTGAATTAGATTCCTTCTTGTAGCTAGCGGGTATTTCTCATTATCTCATACAGAACCTTCATAAAAACAAGTCACGTGACTAGTAGTTTCGTTTGAAACAGTAATTATTGTATTTCCTTCGCGCTGGCGATTAAATTTTGATAAAATTAAAACTTACTAAAACGATAAACGATTTCTCGAAGGCCTTTGGTCGTATTGATTACGGCAATCTCCTCCATAAACTCGAAATATACGGGCTTTGTGGCAACTTTTTACAATTGTTTAGCTCATATTTATAGATCATGTTTATAGATCTTTAAATTGTGTGCATCTATTTAAAATAACGTTTTTTATATTATAGTCAAACTGAATAGCAACTTTTTTTCTGGTAAAACTCATAACGTTACACTTGGAGATATTCAATGTCAACTTATTATTTTGGCACCATATATTTATTTTCGACAACTCTTGTTGTAAACGATAACAATCTTGTAATGATTCAATAGATGCAAATAGCTTCATGTCGTCAGCATATAAGAGGGTATGTGTCTGAATGTCTTTAAATATATCATTTATAAATATAATAAATAAGAGAGGCCCAAGTACCGATCCCTGCGGAACTCCAGATGTCGCCAACACGTCAATTGATTTATAGCTCCGATATTGAACATTGAGAATTCTATTGCTTAAATAAGAATTAAAAAACTAAGAAAATTTGTTGTTAATCCCAAGTTTGATAATTTATGTAACAATAGCTCACGATCAAGTTTGTCAAAGGCTTTCGATAAATCTGTATATATAACATCCATTTGCCCATTCTTATCCAAAGAATTAGCTATGAAGTTAGTGATAGTAACAAGATTTGTTGTTGTTGATCTTCCAGAAATAAAACCATGTTGTGAATAAGATATATGCGCTTTTGAATGGAAGCAAAGGATATCATAAGTAACCATCTCGAAC